GGTGAAATACGCTTTCATGAGTAGACTTGGTTTTTGACAGTTCACATGACTGTGCGCAATCGGTTCTTCTCGTTATTCTAAGTTCTCTGCTGCAGGTCACATACACACATTTACATACAAATAGGCTCTAATCTGTTTGTATAGTATATCGCAAAAGAACAGGCATACTCCTATTTTATATAAGTGTTTTAAAAACAAAAACTATTCACATCAGTTGTTACCACAGGAACTATTCATTCTTATCGTTAATTTATTTAAATAAATTTTCCGAAAAACGTGAATGCCAGTTAATAGCGGCAGCTTTACACATTTCATTTATGCTTCAAAAATTTTGTATTTTATGTGTATTTTACGTAATTAACAACGTTAACAAACTTCACTAATAAATTGTATTTCATAGCAAAATTGATGCACAACGATTTACCGTTATCGGCGGTGTCTTATCGACAATTTTTGAATGCAAAACAAGTACGGCTATAATCGCAAGCAAGCTTGGAGTAATATGAGATAATTTTGACATTATAGTATTTACATTGGTTGAGTGTAGATCAAAATGGTTCGCCAAACAAATAATGCAAATTTTGTCCAAGAAACGTTAATTTATTTTCATTGATTGTGGTTGATTAAAAACTCAAACCTAAATGTCTAAGAACTAATCAATTAAAATAAAATATTAAGAGAAACCGTGAGAAGTGTTGATTTGATGTGGCGTTTTGGCATTACTTACTTACTTTACTGGCGTGGACACAGCTTACGCGCTTTTAGCCGTTTCTTCTTTTTGATGTTTGGGGCCAATTGGTACCACCAATTACATCCAGGCCCTCCTCTACCTAGTCTTTCCTACGGAGTGGAGGTCTTCCTCTTCCTCTGCTTCCACCGGCGGGTATTGCACCGAAAACTGTCAAGGCTGGAGAGTTCGTATCCATCCTGACCACGGGTCTTTTCAAATGGTGAATATCTGGTCAATGGTTGACTTATCAGGTCTGAAGCCACACTAATAAGGTCCAGTCGGTCTTGAAACCTTCCGTAAGTCGTCGTATCTTCTCATAGAAATTTCGAGCATTATACTTGCCGGCCACAAAACTTCAATCTCATGTATTTCGGCCTCTTACTTTTTTCCCTGCAAATGTCTTGCTTCCCTCTTTATCTCTCCGTATCTATCCCATCCCACACGTGTTTTGGCGAATCGCAGCATTGCGAGGTAGGCAGTCGGTTTTCTTCGCACTGCGATACGGCAGTGTTGTTGTCTCATTTGTAGCTGTACGTAGAGAGCCTGAAATGCCGTCCCACGGGTCAAGTGTACCGAGTTGCTGAGGAGTGTTCTCAGAGAGCAGGAGTGAAAGTCGAGTAGAAAATGGTTCGTCAGTCTGTTGCGAATGCAGCAGGACGGGCGTCCTTCGATACACAGAGGCGCATGCGATCTCGGCTGCAACAAGATGATGGTTGAGTAGCTGTTAGGTCCTCGGAGTGTATGCACGTCAAGAAAACTGGATATATGTTCTCCGTATATCACAAACTGATCGATCTGGTTTTGTGTTATGGAATATAGTATTACAGACAACTATATTTCGGGCTGCTGCAAAATCTAACAGCCTCAACTCATTAGGGGATATTTCGTTGTGAAGGCTGAATTTTCAAACAGTAGTACCAACGATACCTTCTTGGCCCACTCTGGCATTAAAATCGCCGAGCACGATTTTCACATCTTATCGGGGGTAGCGCTCGAAAGTATGTTCTAGACGCTCATAAAAGGCATCTTTCCCAAATCGTCTTTCTCTTCCGTGGTGTGCAGTCTCTCTTCCACCACAAGTCCAACACCAAATTTGTGCTTCTTTGTAATGCCGCTGTAGTAGATGTCACAAGAACCTACTTGCTTTCGTCCTCGTCCCGTCCAGTGAACTTCTTGGACTGCGGTGATGTCAGCCTTGATTCTTACGAGGACATCAAGCAGCTGGGCAGAAGCACCTTCCCGGAGCCGGACATTCTAGGTGCGTGCCCTCATATCGTGATTATAATTCGTTGCGTGGGTCGTCAACAGAAAGGGGGTATCTCGTCCACGGCGTTGTTAAATTTTTAATTGGTGCTGGTTTCTAAGTAGCGGGTCCTAAACCCAGGGCACAACTTTGCTAGGAGAGAAAGTTTAAAGTGTTCACACATTTATATAACGAGCCCCTTGCTCCACGACCGACGCCCGCTTGCAGCCGCACCTCTGATGAACAGACGCTGCAATTAGACTTCAGCCTACTCTTACATCGAATAAGTCGGAGAGGCTCTACTGAAGTTTCCTCTCACATTAGCCGTGACCCAAGGCTCCAAACGGGTTGGTTACCGCATCTTGCACAAGAGTTGGTTACGTTTCCAGAGTGGACGCAAGAGTAGGAATTGAGAATAGCCTCACAACTGTAACAGCAAGGCGAACCTAAGGATAGATCTTCTGCTACCTCCATGCGTATGGCTCACAATGTCAAGCTATATGATGATATTGACATAGTTCAGCAAATGGAGATACAACGGCTGCGCTTGCTAGGTTAATGGCCTGGATTGATATGAAAACTCAAGCTTTCAAAGCGTTCGATGCAGTACCCGCTGTAGAAGCAGAGGAATAGGAAGATCTCCTCTACGGTGGAAAGATCAGGTGGGGAGTGGCCTGGCTTCACTTGGTGCTTTAAACGCAGTAAACAGCGATGAATGGCGCGCTAATTCGGTTATATTTGTGTAAACGGTTACACGGGCATCTTTTTGTTTTCTGTTCTGCATTCACAGCGAAAGCTTCTGCAATTTTCATTTATGAATTAATGGCAATTTACTAGCTGACGCTACTGCTAGATCACAGTGTAACTCTCCAATATTGATCTCCTCCATTATCGAAATTAATTAGATTATAATTCAACAAATAAAACTAATTTAGTTTCTGACTGGATTAATTATAGATACCGAAGTTAAGAATTTTTAATCAGCCAGCTTAAAGTTTGTGCTTATATTTTTAAGCTGTATAAGAAATGCGATTTTTATAAGCATAAGCTTTAAAATTTGGAGATTCTAGCGCATTGTTTTCGACTTCACCCTAGTGATCACTTGGACTTTGATAGCACTTTTTTTAATTTTTATTAATGATTGGTTCACCAGGAATTATTAAGCATTTTATGGACAACAGCATTAGGTCTTTGAAAGTGTTAGATGCAGTACCCGCTACTGAAAGTAAGAGAAGAAACAGACGGAGTGGAGGTTGGTAGGATCAGGTGGAGATTGGTAGGAGGATGTGGAGTTTATCCTAACAATCTGGTCTCACAACACTCAGAAGGGCCAAACTTATCCACTCAGGACCTGAAAGAAGAAGACTGGGAAGAGCGCGAGTGGTTACAAATTTGGTAGTTTAACGTGTTTCCTTAATTTTTCCGATCTGTTACGCTAAGAGGAATGGATGTTCACCACTAGCAAGTCCTGATAACTACAGCATCGGTATTTTACGAGGGGTGTGCAAACACCACACCCGTAACACTTACAACTGTAAACGACGTAAGAAGTGCAAGGTCACAGAAATAAAAAAAAAGGATGGAAAATTTTTTTTGGGTAAAAGCTAATGAGGCCGCGTTGCAGAAGGAGCTCAGCCGAGCATCGCTGGCCACAAAGTACCAATTATATATACAATAGCTAATCCTAAAACGCTTTGCATGGATAACCTTTGCTTTGAGGTCTTAAGGTTCAAATAGAATACTCAGAAACAAGTGTATTGAGGAATATCATGTAAGTATAACGCGTGAGGCAGCAATTTTGCTTTCTGATCATGTAGTCAGAATATATGAAAGCAATTCAGTTTTTAACTAGTTGGATTCTAATTAACAACTAGCATTTTTTAGCAGGGATGTGCGTCTGATTTTATAGAAATACATATTTGTGGGAGAAACCTAAAACAGGAGCACGGGATGGGAAATAGAAGGCAAATTTAGGAATGAAAAGGAATGTCTTGTAAGGTGGAGCGGGACGACCTCTACTCTACGTATTTCGTTCACGGCAACCATGATCAAGCACCCCGTAGTCCTGACAAATTGGGTCTGCCTATTTGTCCACAAGTCCCACCCGTTTGATCTTGACTGCATGCGCATGCCACTCTTTTACAGGGTAACACTTACGATACAATATTTGCGTTTCCTCAAAAATAATAACTAAATTTATTATAATTTTGTAAGTAAACTAAAAAAACGTTCTCCATATTCTTACAGCAATTTAAATGTTTATACATTTCAGAATAAAAAGATATAAATGAAAGAAATAAAAATTTTCAAAAGAAATGTTACCTTTTATTAACGCTCTTCATACTCACGCATCTCGGCGTATTCTGCACTTGAGTCTTGCTTCTTTCTTCAATTCTCCATATCTATACCGCCTCATAAGAAAGCCAGTTTTCTCTCGATTGCATCTCGGCAATCTTCATTGTACTCTGTACGACCTTTCAGAAACCCAATAGCACGGTTTGCAGCTACATGTACACGTAAATAACTTGAAATGCCAACCCTCAGTTGCCAAATACCGAGTTGCTGATAACTGCTCTCAGAGAGCAAGAGTTCCAGTCGAGTAGAAAACCATTCGGCTATCTGTTGTGATTGGAGCCTTCCTTGTGTTTGCTGAGGGGATTTTATGAATGCACAAAACAGGCCCCACTGAGCTGTGACACAAGACTCCGCACGGGTTGGTTACGTACGAGTAGGTCTTTTTCAATTTATGGTTTCGTTAATTTCGAAAAAAAAGAAGGAAATCAAATTGAACTAATTTAGATTGATGTTTATTTGTAAATATGCTTACACGATATGTGTACAAATCAATAGAAATATTGGCGTGTATATAGAAACATGTTTTCGGTGCAATATTCGAGTTCTTTACTCGCATATTCTTACCGAGGAGCATGTTGTTGATGTCTTTGTAGCCGCAAAAATATTTCCAAAAGTATACAAAGATGTATAACTAAAACTGTATTATTTTTTTATATATTTACAGATATGAACAAGAATCTAAAACTCAATTCGTTATTGATGCAGTTTATGCTTTTGCTCACGCTCTACACAAACTTCACAAAGATCTATGCTTACCAAGAAGTAATCAAAACGATGAAATCACATCTGGTTCTGCAAAACGACTCCATCGCCACAATCCATCTGCTTGGTATCGAAAACCTCTTGATAGCGAGTCCCACGCATGTCCCGAAATGGCAAATTATGACGGCAAAGACTTTTACAATAATTACCTTTTGAATGTGTCGTTCATTGGTTAGAAAATTTTGACACTATACCTCCAATGCATTAACTTTTTTCTTTCACAGACTTAACTGGAAGTGTTGTGAAGTTCGACCGACAAGGAGATGGGTTAGCGCGATATGATATACTTAACTATCAGCGTTTGGAAAACTCAACCGGTTATCAATATAAGGTCGCCCTTTTAATTATACTTAATATTTTTATTTATTACACATATCCAAGTGAATTTCATGACACATTAGAAAGAGACAAGCAATGTCTTCCTTATGACCCTTCTTTGTACATTGTACTAGGAGTGAGAATTAAGTAATGAGACTGATTTTATTTCCGCGATTGTGGTAACCTGCGACCCTTCTCCCGCCACCCTTCTCCGCTCCATTGATATATTTGTCATCGCTCTAACTTGTTTAGTTCGCCTGCAGTGTCGTGTTGAGTTAACGTGTGTTCGTGATGCTCTAAATTGGGCATAATAGCTTCGGAAACGTACGCTAAAATTGTAAAAGTGCATGGTGATAGTGTTCTTAGTCGTACCCAGGTGTTTAAAGGGGATAAAGAGTTTAAGGAGTGACGTGAAAGAGTGGAAGACGAGGTGCGGAGCGGGAGACCAGTCGAGGTGCGGAAAGACACGAATAGGCATTGGGTGCGCCCTCTAAACCGTGAAGATCGACGTTAAACAGTTGGGTATGAACCGCGAAACAGTCAGACAAGTTTCAACCAACAATTTGGGATGAGAAAGTTGTGCACGAAGATAGTTCCAAAGAACCTTTTCGAGGAGCAAAAGCAGCATCGAATGTCCGTCGCAGAAGATTGTCTGGAACAAGTGGAAAACCTGAAACCAAACGCACAATGGCTCGCACTCCTCCCGTCCGAAAAAACCTCGAAGGACAATCGAAGTTGAAAGAGATGTTGTTGCCCCTTTTGATAGCCATAGAATCGTCCACAAAAAATTTCTTCCACCAGGGCAAACCGTTAATAAAGTCTACTATCGCCAACTACTAAAAAAAACTGTGAAATCGAGTCAACAGGGTGCGCCCAGGCACCGCTCGTAACTGAATCCTTCCTCGCGACAACGCGCCGTGCTACACCGCCCTCAGTGTGTCCCAGTATTTAACCTCTAAAGGGATCTCCGTGTCGCAACAACCACCTTATGTCACCCTATGACTTTTTTTGTTCTCAAGAACAAAAACGATGGTCAAAGGAATCCACTTTGGGTCGATTGAGGATATCCAGACGGCCATGACGAGTGTCCTCGCGGATATCTAAGTCGAAGTGTTCCAGAAATATTACGAAGCATGAAACGCGCCAGAATCGTTGCTAGCTGCCCAAAGGGACTACTTTGAAGTGGATGGCAGAGTTGTAGAATAAATTTGAAATATACGATTTTTATGGAATCAGTCTCATTACTTAATTGTCACATCTCGCATGCTCCAAAATAACTAAACTGCTGCACCGAATTACTTACTTACTTAGATATTCGAAAATATTGCATATGCTTTTCGATTCGGATCTACTTCGGATACATTTTATTCAAATCAAGCTTTACATTTTAAAAAATATAGGCAAAGTACATAGTATAAATATTTGAACATGATAATCAAAGGGAAGCCTGCTAAGATGGTTAGCAGGCAGATACATTTTTAAGGAGTTTTCCATTTGTTTATAGATCGCCCGCAGGGAAAGCCACTCGTTGTTAATTATAATTATACTTGCTTACATTTTTACACCAACTAGTTCATCTTCCATCTATTTTACATGTAAGCAAATGGTAGTTCTAGCACTGCGATGTCCTACGAACTGTCAATTGGCACTATATGAATCAGCTTTATACTAGTTAAATACTAGTTCTGGTAACTAGTGAGAGAATGCTTCCCCTTTTTTCAAAAAATATATTAAGCAATTGTGGAATCTCAAACGATCCCCTCAATATAAAAATATGCGTGGCTGCGGCAGCTATCAGCTGATTTCGCAAAATAAGCAATTCGAGGGAACAAACAAGCAAATGTGAAAATGGAAACATGCATAAAAGCATTTTCGTTTCAGCAACTTTTGTCCGTACAGAAATAATATGCACTTGCAAATCATAAGATTGCATAAATAAACAAATCAAATGAATGCGGTCTCTTGAATTCATGATTTCAATAGTTGTGACAAATTTTGCAAACTGCAAATTTAAACAAAAATCAGCTGTTAACTCACTTTCGGTGGAAACGCTTGACATTTCATTCTCTTAACAGAGGCCTTAAATGTATTTAAGTCTAGGCTAGTGCAAACTGTGTGTTCAGCGGCAAAGCTTATTTTTGGATTATTGGGAGCGTTCATAAGCATAATTGTCGATTTTGGAGCAAAGATCAGCCAGAAGCATTGCAAGATGATGCGAATCGTAGCATAACTGTGAATGGTGAGCGGTACCGTGAGATGATATCAAATTTTTTTTTGTCCCAAATGCAAGAGCTTGACTTGTATGACATGTGGTTTCAACGAGACGGTGCCACATGCCACACATCACGCGTAAAAATGTACTTATTGAGAGGCGAGCTTGGTGAGCATTTTATTTCACGGCCGGGAACGGTCAATTGGCCGCCCTGATCGCGCAATTTAACGCCTTTAAACTATTTTTGGTGGGGCTTTCATAAATCTAATGTCTATACAGACAACCCCTCTTCAACTGACTTGCATTGGAGGACAACATTAAAGCATTTATTCGTGAGATACCGGCCGAAATGTTGGAAAGAGTATGCCAAAATCGGACTAAGCTGATGGACCATTTAGGGTGCAGTCAGGGTCAATATTTGCATGAAACAATCTTCATCATCAATTCAATTCAAATAAAAATGTCACGCATTTTCGCTAATTTTAAAATTTTTTTTTTTTTGAAAAAGTTTCCTGTAGTTCTTACACAATTATCCTTTATATACATACTCATACTTCGGTGATAGTTTTTGAGGTTGGAAATATAGTAGCATTTGTAAGATGATGACACACCCCATATTTAAAAAATATTTTTTTTTATTAAGGAATGCATCAACTAACTTCAGACAAAGCTCAAAATTTATACAGCAATATTTTATATAAAAGAAACTTGATTAGAAAAACCGCTGTTTTTGTTCACTTTATTAGAAATTTGGTACATTATTTCTTTCCAGGAAGTAGATCACATGTCTATCGACGAGTACGTATTTAAAGCTTAATTAGGACTGTTTCTCATTTTTTACTATTGAACAAAATATAAAAACACTGTTGTTGTTTTAGCAGCAGGACTAGTACTGTGTGCTTGGAGCTTCTAGGTTATGCTTCTTTTTCCGGCCTGCATGGATGATGACAACAGATGATGAGTCGGCGTTAGAAGTTTTCGAGCAAAAGGTTTTGAAAACAATTTATGGTTCTTTGCGCATCGGCAACGGCGAATACCGCAGACAATGATACGGACATGGTTCGGTATATACGAATTCTCCAGCTTTGACAGTTTTCGATACAGTACCCGCTGGTAGAAGCAAAAAAAGGGCAACACTTCTACTTTGTTGGAAAGACCAGGTGGAGAAGAAGGCATCCGAGTTCTTGGTATCTTCAATTGGCGCCAAAGAAGAAATAAAAGAAACGAGGGGGACGAAGGTATGAAATCGGAAATGTTTGCGTAGGCAGTATCCATGCCTGCCAAATAAATAAGTATTCATGTCATACAAACAAACAAGACCGTTAGTTTACTTGGTATTTATATCAAAAATTATTATACAACATGGCCGCAAAAACAATTATGAATATATAAGTTGAACCTAATACTCAATCCTGCCTATACATTTTTCAGTCAACTAACGCCTGAAAGTATAGAGCATTACAAAAGAGCTCATAAACCAAGCTATTAAGAAAATAGTGGCCAATTAGCGCACTTAATAGTTATTGGTCAATAATGAATAGAATAATACAACAAAATTTTATGGCTGATGTATGCGCAGTGCTAGAGCACTTGCTTATTAAGTCAAGTCCCGTTGGTTCGATCCCACCATTTTTCTTTGTTGTAAAACAGAATATGCAATTCATACAAACAAACCAAAGTAAACTAAAGACTTAGTACTTTTATCAAAAAGTATTATATAGCATGGACGTAAATACAATAATGAATATATAAGTTGAACCTGATTTCCTCGTTGCTATTTCTTTTAATTTTTGGAAATAACCAGAAGTCACAAGGTGCTATATCTGGGGAATATGGTGTTGCACGTAGCGTCAAATTCCTCTTTCTTTCACTTTTCCAACAAATTTTTGAAATCTTTTGGTAAGCACTATTCGGGGTACCATTTTGCGGTTAGAGTCTGACCCTTTTCCAGTGGAATAGCAGCTGCGAACACACAACAAGTCAACAAAATAATACTTAGCGGTTGATTGGTCGGGTGCGTGTACCCAACTGCGGTACTCCTCCGGATGATGACGTCTAAATCAGCTCCGCCACTGCAGCAGAACACAACTATTCTGGGCCTCAGCTGCCTTAAAACCCTTAGGTTTTATCTAAGGAGACTATTTATTAGCCTCGGCAAAACACTCTTTCTTATTTTTTTGTTTTAAAACACTAGTTCACACGTTTCTCTAGGAAAGATGTATACTCTTTTGAAGATTGCATGAATCTGATACAGCACCCACTTACTAGCCAGACCGCAAGCTACGCTTTCGCCTTCAGAATTCTCCTGCGAGTGTGTTTTGGAGCCCAAGCAAGCCACCACGCCACACCAAGTACACTCGGATAATTTACCCCTCGCCGCATTACAGAAAAAATCGACACCTCTTTGAACGGAATATCCGCGTAATGCATTTCGTTTCCCTAATAATTGTTATTGGAGGAACCGTATGGTGGGAACACCTTCTTTTGGGGACTTATACCAGTGGTTAGGCACACACGCAGCAAACTACCTGTGCTAACTGTTGATCCCATGTCCTGTGATTCTCTGACACGTTGGCCCTAAGTGTTGTTTTAATAATTTGGTTTATCCAGGTCACATATAGAAGGGGGTAACTATTCTTATCGGTACAATTATTCAAAACGTTATAGTCTACACAAAACCTATATGTACCATCCTTCTTCCTAGTCATAACTACTGGGGATGCCCAAGGATTATGTGACTTCTCTTCGTCCATAAACGACTATATGATGGGAAACACAGGTTAATAACGCTGTTTCACAGG